AGAGCTGAGCCCTTCTGGAGGAGCTGCCAATTCAGCAGCTACTCAAGAATTTTCCAGCATTTTATGGCACACGAAGGTTCATTACTGTGTTCACAAGAGCCCTCCACTGGTCCCTATCTTGAGCCAGATCTATCCAATCCATAACATGCCATCCTGTCTCTCTAATATCAATTCTAATATTGTCCACCCACCTATGCCTTGGTCTTCCCAGTGGTCTCTTTCCTTCTGGCTCTCCCACCAATATCCTAAACGCATTCGTCTCCCCCATTTGTGCTACATGACCTGCCCACCTCATCCTCCTTGACTTGATCATTCTACAGGGTGGGCCAGATTCAATTAGGCAGTTTTTGATTAGATGTTGTTTTTATTGATAAATGTTTACAATTGCAATGGTTACAAAAATGGAATCGCACACACACAAGTCATCGATTTTCAAGATGCTGGTCAACCTGGGCATCACCTAAGTCAACACAGGCTTGCAGACGCAAAGCAACATTTTCACACGCCTTTCTACACATATTCACCGAACTTTATATTGAACTCCTGAACAATCACCTCACGCAGATCTTTCACACTGTCCATGGGATTAGCATACACCTTGTCTTTGAGGTAACCCCAAAAGTAAAAGTCTGGTGGGGTGATGTCGGGTGATCGGGCTGGCCACTCCACAAGGTCCTCAACGGCCAATCCAGCGTTGAGGAAAAACTTGACGCAAGAACGCCTGAACAATATTGGCGAAGTGTGGTGGGGCCCCATCTTACTGCCACCACAGTTCATCAAAGTTCTCTATCCTCTGAAGTTCTGGGATGACACTTTCCCTCAGCAACTTTAGGTAGGTTTCCCCCGTGACGCAACCTTCATGGAAGAACGGGCCAATCAGTCCTTCGTACGTCATGCCGCCCCACACCATCACTCCCAGGGACTGGAAATCGTATTCAATGGTGGCACTGGGGTTCTCTGGCCGACAAAACATGCAGTTGTGTCTGTTGACCGATCCTGATGTGTGAAATTTGGCCTCATCAGTCCAGACAGTATTCTGGATAAGGTCAGGGTTCTCCTGAAACTTGGTCAGCATCAACTCGGCGAACTCAAGTCGCCTGTCGAAGTTGTCCTCGTTAAGAACATGAATAAGCCGTGGATGGTATGGTGTCAGCTTCATGTCACTCAAAACTCTCCGCAAACCTGTCCTCGAAAAGTCCAGTAGGACCGACAAACAGCGGGTAGACTTCGATTTCTGAGATGATGCCAGTTCCGCAGCAACACGTGCTTGTGTGTCAGCAGTTCGGACAGCTCTCGGCTGACCAGGATGCCTGGGATTCAAAGCACTGACAGTTTCATCAAACTGCTTGTTTATTCGGACAATTGTGTCTCTGTGGACTGCTGGCGGTCCAAACTCTTCCAACATCCTGCACTGGACTTCTGATACATTGTTAGTAACTGAGAAAATGTGCACACATTTTACATGCTGCTTGATAGACAACCATCTACCGGCCATGACGTTTCCTCGATGCACACTAAGTAGGCAGAGTATTGACCTTGTCCACAGCATACTGTATGATGCTGCCATCTATCGTCAACAAAAGGTACTTTCCCATTATCCCATGTGTTGTTGGATTGGTTAGTTATTAATGATCAAAAACTGCCTAACTTGAGTCTGGCCCACCCTGTAATTATACCTGAAGAAGAGTACAAGTTACGAAGCTCCTCATTATGCAGTTTTCTCCAACCTCCTATCACTTCATCTTCTTTGGCCCAAATATTCTCCTCAATACCCTGTTCTCAAACACCCTCAGTCTATGTTCCTCCCTTAATGTCAGAGACCAAGTTTCACACCCATACAGAACCGCAGGCAAAATTATAGTTTTGTATATTCTAATTCTTATATTTTTGGACAGTAGACGAGAAGACAAAAGGTTCTGGACTGAATGGTAGCAAGCATTACCCGAGTTCAATCTCCTCTTAATTTACTCCTGAATCAGGTTTCAATCTGTTATTGTTGTTCCCAAATACCTGAATTGTGTCACATTTTCAAAATATCTGTTTCCTATCTTTATGTCATTATTTTGTCCTGTATTTTGGCGACAAGACAGTAACATATACTCGATTTTCTCTCTGTTTACTTCTAGACCAACCTCTTTACTTGTGTCAATTCAAGTTTGTGTGTTTTTCTTTATGGTATCTACATTATCACCAAGTAGATTCACATCGTCGGCATAGATCAACAGCTGATGTGTCCCGTTTAATTTCAGTCCCACCTGGTATACTCTCAAAAACCTTTCATTTCAAGAATAGTTCTTTCCTTGATGGAGAGACTAGGACTCAGTGCGTCTGGTACTGAAGACCAACTTTTCACTGACAGATATTACAGAAGTGTTTGAGTTGGCCCAAGAATTGGACAATCGAAAATGTAAGTACACAGCATGTGTCTACCCTTTATGCCCTTGTTGCACCAACTTTTTTTTGAGAAAAAGCATTTACTTAGTGTCTCTGCAGGCATTTAAGAACTCTTTGACACCCTGGATGTGGAAATTTCTAATAATGCTACGACCAGAAAGGGTTAAGATTCATCTTAACACTATCTTCCTACCTGTGCTTAAGGTCTCCAATGCTGTCTCTTTCTTTAAAGTTTTTGGAATAAAACTTTGTATGGAATTGAAAATATCTGGATGCACACATATGTAAAATGTTACACAAAAAATGAAAATATTGCCAAGTATTATGAATGCCAAATTTTTGAATACCTAAGCTAGTAAACTAGAGGTAGTATGAGAGGATCTGGAAGACGATGGGGTGATTAATTGAAGAAAGCAGTCTTCTGGGATTTGGCACCGTGTATATGTGGTGTTAACCGACGTTTCGGAGGAACGTATCGCCCCCATCTTCAGGGTTGAAGAAAAAGTATAAGTAAATCTGCAAGCGACAACACCGTGAGACANACGAAGAATACACGGTGCCTAAACCCAGAAGACAACTTTCTTCAAATATGTACCGTATTGCCTATCTTGATAAAATGAGACATTAGCAATATGGAAACATGAGTGCATTCAAAGTGCTGTACAGATATGATTCTAACTGTATAGAGTGTTTTCCAGTTCTGTGTTTGCACTGGAGTAGAATTCTTGCTACAAACTGAGATTCTTATATCATCTCAATGCCAAAGTCCTTTTACTGCTGTCATGTCAAGTTCAATGTATCCTAGAAGATAGTGAGACTTCAAAACTTGACTTCAGATATAAATTATGAAACACTTAAAATTTGCCACGTTACACAAGGTGTCAAAGAAACAATGAACTGAAAGAAGACAACAGTATTACCTTCCTGTTTGCATATACCACACTTCCTCTTCCTAGGAGGGTCTGAAGAAGTTGGCCCTGGCCGCTTGGTCCCCTTGCATCCTGGAAACACATGTCCAAATAATGAATGCAGCGGACTGATGGAGGTGGGTATTAATAGAGTGAAAAAGCTTAACTGTGAGTCCCACTGGACTTTGAACATTTATGTTACACATAAATGTATATGGTAATTTTGCTATCCATTTCCTTCTTTGGCCATATTTTTCTTTGAGACTTCAATTTTTTTCCAAAATCTGGTTATAGTTTGACCACCTCTGTGGTCTAGTGGTCAGATTTCCTGGTTATATATCCAGATTCCCAGCGCTACCAGATTTTATGAGAAGTAGTGGGTCTGGAACAGGGTCCATTAAGCCTTGTGAGGATAACTGAGGAGCTATTTCAAGGGAATAGTGGCTCTGGTCTAGAAAATCGAGATTAACAGCCGTCGGGATCTGTTGCGCTGACCACGCAACACCCTCTATCTGCAAAATTTGGCACTAAATTTGCTGACAAGCTCTAGGTGCGTGGTTGATATAGTTTGCTTGCAGACTACATGCCATGGAGTTTTCTTTAGTTTATCTGGTTATAGTTTTATTTGATGGAATACTGTATCAGTGGCAGGTGAACTGGTTTTATGTGTAGTTGCATGCCAAGATGTGGATGTTTTTCTGATATTAAATTTTACTAAATTAAAGTGCAAAGCATGTTCACTAAAATTAAGTATTCAGAAAAGATTGGCAATGGCTGTATTTGTTCATTCACGTTTTAAGTTGCAATCACTGGTCTGCAATTGAATCTGGTTACCAAGGAGCTCACATTTTAGGGGAAGGAAGAAATAATAATAATAAAAAAATATAATAATAATAATAATAATAATAAAAAGGCAACAATATATGGCCCCTTTCTCTTTCAGGCATAAAGGGATATTTAGAGAATTTGATTTGTTTCATTCTAGTCCGTCACACTAACAAATTACAAAGACAAAACAACTCCGTTCAGTGTGACTACTGAAGTTTTTACTACTTGAAAACTTAACATCCTTACATGTTTCGGTCCCTATATAAATACATATACATACAATGAAGAGAACAGTCTTCTGGGATGTGGCACCGTGTTTATGTGGTGTTAACCGACGTTTTGGAAGAACGTATCGCCTCCATCTTCAGGGTAGAAGGAAAAATATAAGAAATCCGCAAGTGAACAGACCGTGAGAACCAGTGCAAGCAGACTGGTGTTGGAAATATACACAGATATGTGAGAGCAGTGAAGGAAGGGCAAGTCTACATGTGAAATCAGTGGAGTGGGAGGGGGAGAAAGGAGCTGGGACAGAAGCAGGGTTTTGTGTTGGGGGAGAGAAAGGCAAGGTTAAAGGATGGGCACTAACCTCCCACCCCACTTCCACTTTATACACCCACATTAACGTCACAGACACAGGAAGTATAAATTATGTGGCGCAGCACATTCTGGAACAGTAAAAACAACACAGGACAATAGCATGGTACGACGAAACAACAAAATCCTTAAAATATACAATATATATACAATAGGGTTGCTGAAATAATACAATACCCATAATATATTTGCAGAATCTCCTTCTCAAGATAGACAGGAGGCACAAGTTCATCCACCACCAAGAAACACAATAGGAGAAGGGACACGAACCTACTTGGTTTATAAACTTTAACTTCAATAACAAAGTTTTAAATCTTTAATATACCAAGAAAGCAGCTGTATTTGTGGAAAAGTTGGATTTTGTACATATTGTGCATTACAAACATTGTATGTATATGTATTTTAACACTCAAAACACCCATTGTGATAGTAGTTTCCAAAAAAGTATCAATGTCCCTCTGATGATGGTCTATAGGGACTGAAACATGTAAGGGTGTTAAGTTTTCAAGTAGTAAAAATTTCAACAGTCACACTGGATAGAGTTGTTTTGTCTTTGTGATATTTACAACTTCACAAAGAAGCTCAGCGTTGGCCTGAAAGTTTACAGAGCACTGTGTGCCTATGTAGTAGAAACATTGGTTATATAATTAGTAAAAGCTAAATGCCTAACCTTTTATCAAGGTTTGGGTTACAATAGTCTGCATTTACATGGTTTTAAAATATTTCTTTTATAAACATAATAACAAGGATGTTTGGAGCAAGATGATTTTGTGTAGCAATGGAAACCTGTGACTGAAGACACTGTCATTATTTTAGTGTGACACTAGACAGGGTTTAGACTGGTAATCAGATTGATTGAACACGTACAGAATGTAACTACAAATAACTCTGACACTCTGAGTTACACACTATAACTACAGCACACATAAAGTCTTCTCAGTCACACCTAGCCATTACCTGGTAGCGGATTCCAATGGCAGATGTTTCCCTTACTTTGGGTTCCTGAAGCTACCAGCCTCTCAGTTCGTCTTAATGCCAAGCCCTTTGAGGATCATGACCAGAGATGTTATGGTCATACTCCTTAAGTAACATTCTCTTATTGTGCTCCTTATAACATCTCTACATGGACCACATTGAAAACACAGTTCCTCATTGCTGTAGTTCAATTGTTGCAATCAAAACACGCTTGTTTGTGAAGCTGTTACTTAGTAGCAGCTGTTGTACGAGGGGAAGTCAATAATTATCTGCAATGCAGTTGTATAAGTGTTTCTGTTGGCAGCACTGCTGTTTTACACAGCATTGCCATGCGTGGTTTCCTTATCATTATTTCTGCGCAGGTTTCATGTTGCTAGGTCAGTTCCATCATCGCTGCCTTGCCATTAATCATGGCTGCTCCGCTTTCTGTTTGCACCAAAGAAGAGCAATGTTCAGTGATCCGGTTTTTGTGGTCGGAAGGTGTATCAGGGGCCGCAATCCATCAAAGACTTTCAGCACAATACAGGAACAGCGTTTTGCCACAACAGTGTCTACAAATGGATTGAAAAATTCAAAAAATGGTCGCACAAGTGTTACACACGAGGAAGGAGCGGGACGACCATCCACGGCCACAAATGAGGACAACATTGAGCGTGCACGTGACATGGTTCTGTTAGACATACGAGTAACTATTGATGAAGTGGTAAATCATCTGCAAAATAGTCATGGTTCTGCCTATGAAATCATCCACAACAGACTTGGGTTTCATGAAGTCTGTGCAAGATGGGTCCCAAAACAACTCACAGTGTTGCATAAACAAATGCGCTTGGACATCTGCCAACAACATTTGGATCGCTACGGTATGTCTTCTTAGACATAATCATCACTGGTGATGAAACATGGATCCATCATTGCAAGCTGGAGAGTAAACGGCAGAGTATGGAATGGAAACATCCACAATCGCCCAGCAAGAAAAAGTTCAAAAGCCAACCATTCGCAGGAAAACTTATGCTTACAATTTTTTGGGACTCACAAGGCCCAGTACTGGAACATTATTAGGAGAGGGGCACAACAAAAACAGTGCTCGTTACAGTGAGATGCTTACTGACAGGCTAGTGCCTGTCGAAGCAAATGCCGAGGACTACTGTCGAAAGGTGTTGTGTTCTTGCACGACAATGCTCGTCCACATACTGCTGCCCACACTGCTGAAACCCTCCGGAAACTCAAGTTTGATGTAAAGGCTCATCCTCCGTATAGTCCTGATCTTGCCCCTTTTGACTACCACTTGTTTGGTCCACTCAAAGAGGCATTAAGGGGCCGTCGATTCACCTCGGACCAAGAAGTGAAGGAAGCGGTGCATGCGTGGCTCGCTGCCCAGCCAAAAACCTTCTTTTCTGAGGGCATCAGGAAGCTTGTGCAACAATGGACGAAGTGCGTTGAAAAGCAAGGGGACTATGTTGAAAAATGATGTTAATGTAAGTTTTCTATTTGTACTGAAATAAAATTTATAGCTACATTGCGGATAATTATTGACTTACCTACNGTGACCGGCAATTATTGACTTACCTACGTATATTTGCTTATTTCGAGGTTGATGCCCAGCAATGGCTCTACATGCCACAATACTGGGTTACTACAAATGATTCATTCCATTTCAAAACAATATATTTTCCAAAGTATTATACATACAAATATGATTGATACGTGAAGAGAACCGTAAACTCACGGTAAGGTTTGAATTTTAACAGCCGACGCAAAATCTTCCAAACCGTTTGTTGCGGGATTCCAAGTTCGCGGCTTGCACTGGCAGTTGATTTTTGTGGACTGCGCAGAAAACTCTCCCTCACTCTCCCCACTGTTTCATCTGACACTCTTGGTCGCCCCGTGCTTTTCCGTTTACACAGACAACCAGTATCATTAAACTGCCGATACCACCGCAGAATGCTCTGTTTACACGGTGGTTCTTTCTTGTGCTCTGATCTGAATGCACGCTGCACTGAAATAACAGACGAACATTTCGCATATTCCAACACACAGAATCTCTTTTCCATATTCGTCGCCATTTTCTGAGATACTACACTCATGCTGCCAACTGGTGTATCACGATGTAAACTTGGTGAGTTTGCGGTTCTTTTCATGTATCAATCATATTTGTACGCGTAATACTTTAGAAAATATAGTGTTTTGAAATGGAATGAATCATTCGCAGTAGCCCTATATTATAAATTGCTATGGTCCATTCAACTGACATAAGTTCATTTTTGAAACAGGCTGAACTTTCTTTGTATCAAATGGTTTCAGAGTTACTCACTTTTAGTAGGTTTTATAAAAAGAAGTGCTGCACATGAGACTGTGAAACTAAATGAACTGCAACAGGATGCTATAATATTACGAGCTTTATTAACCGATCAGCTATGCGCTATGCTTTTATAGAGGGGAAAACTGGTTTTAGCGGCGAGCACTTTTTTTAATATGTAGGGCTAATTTCGAGAGTGAATTCATGGTTAACAGTAGGCAATGCTTATGTTTTATGCAGAGGTTAAACAGCACTTAAAACCTAGAAGATTTACTTACGTTTTATGCAGAGGTTAAACAGCACTTAAAACCTAGAAGATTTACTTACAAGTGTTTAAATGTTATTTCACAAGGCACTGATTATACGCAGTGCTCATAAATTTTTTATGAACTTGAAAAAT